CAGGAGTCCTGGGAAGATGACATTTAAATGATCATTTATAGCAGCTTACATTTTCTTATGCAGTGGGTCACCATATAAGATTGGAGGTTTACAGAAACCTTGGGAGGGAGGGAGGCAGGGCTGATACTCAGCTCAAATTTTAGATGAGAAAAATGAAGCTCAGAGATTAGGCAACTTGCCTAAGATCACAGGTCAGGATATGGCAGAAATAGAGCCAGGCCAGTTTGCCAACTCTATCCAGAGCTCATGTCTACTATGTAAAGTCATCAATACTAAAGTGATAACTAGAAGGGAGGTCAGAAATCTTCTAATGCAGTGTTTCCCAAACCAATGTGATTTAAAAAAAAGAAAAAACACCTTTCTGGGACACGCATTAAAAACAAAGATTCCCAGCCCTGGTGGTTTGACTCCACAGAGCATCAGCCAAGGACCCAAGGGTGGGTACAATTGCTGGTCAAAGGCACATATTTGGGTTGCAGGTTCCATCCCCAGACTCAGCTGGAGTCACGTGGGAGGCAACCAATCGATGTCTCTCTCACTCCCTTCCATTCTATCTAAAAATCAATGAAAAAATATCCTTGGGTGAGGATTAACCAACCAACCAACCAACCAACCAACCAACACAAAAAGAAACATAGATTCCCAGACACCGCTACAGAGCTACTGAATGACAACCTTCAGGAGAGAGGTTTTATATTTTTACAAGAGCTCTAAGAGGTGATTCTAGTGACTAGTTGTGCTTGGAAAACCCTGTTGCATACCTGTACGTAAAATATGGCAGACACGTGGCTATTTACTTTTACATTGATTACGTTAAAAAAAACAACTGGGTTCCTTAGTTACATTACCTACCTTTTAAGTGCTCAATAGCCACATGTGGCTAGTGACTACAATACTGGGAGGCACAGTATAGGGCATTTCAAATCCTGAAGAAAATTTATTGGATAATGCTGATTCTAGACCAACATTTCTACTGTGAGGGTAAGAAAACTGAGGCACAGGATCTTGTCCAATAAGTGCCATGAAGCTAGTTAGTGGCAGAATTGAAATTCTAACCTACTCTGCCAATGCCCCTCCTATTACATCACTTTTTCTCACCTCAAATTCAGGGTTTATTCAAACAGAATTATTTTTTCCCACCCTTTCTTGTGGGTTCCAGCAAAGCAAGAAGAGAAATTCTAAATTTGTGTGTGGGGAAATTCTAAAAACAGGTTCCTTAGGAAAAAAAAAATCACAATGAAATCTAAACCAAGCAGCAATCATTATATAAAAGTAAAAGTAATCTTAGATAATTAAGACTATCCTGGTGTTAGGAGGCTTGTTTTAACTATTTTTTTTTTTTTTTTTTTTTTTTATCCTCACCCGAGGATATTTTTCCATTTTTTGTACAGATAGAGTGGGAGGCAGAGAGAGGAAGGGAGAGAGAGAGAGAAACATCGACGTGAAGGGACACATCGAGTGGCTGCCACCCGCACGACCAACCAGGGCCGGGGACAAACTGCAACCGAAGTATGTGCCCTTAGCGGGAACCGAACCCGGGTCTCTCCGGACCGCAGGCCGACGCTCTAACCGCTGAGCCAAACTGGCCAGGGCTGTTTTAACTATTTTAAGTCCTTCTTCTACCGTCCTGATGTTTTTATCTTTCTTGGATTTGAAATCCTGAAACTACTAATACGTTTCAATTGGCTTACCTTAAAATTATAAATGTGAAATAATTAAATATTATTTAGCAAACATTTTAAAGATGAAAAATTGAGAAACAAGGAGCAACCAAAAAAAAAAAAAACAGTGACTTGTCTAATTTTAGAATGTGGTCACTCAAACCACTGAGCACTTGTGGCTTACAGTAATTCAGTGGTTTAGTATTTATGCCTTAATACATTGTTTTCACTTCTAAGCTATAGTTTTTACCTTTTAACTACTATGCTATGCTTTAAAATAATTTAAGTTGTTTTCACTTCTAATGTAACTGAGGGACTAGAAGCACCTGAACATCTAGGAGGGTTTAAACACTCATTAGGCAACATACAGCCAGCCGTAACACAGCAATGTCCTCTTTAAAATAAAACCAGTTGTTCCTGTCTAGTATGTTTAGAATGCAAATGTCTGCAAAGTCAGTCCACTTAAGTCATGACAGTTCATGTTTAAAGCAAGCAGGAAATAACTTGGAGCTCCATATTACAGCACTTAAAACTCTAAAGACAGAATTATACAGCTCTATTAATTCTTTTTAGTATCTAGTATTCATAGCCATGTTAAATTTCAGTGACTAAATTTAGAGAAAATACTGTAAGTCAAAGTTTGCATTAAATTAAATGGTTAAAAAACATGACCCAAATAAGATACTTATGAACCAATGCTTATTTAAGATGGTTTTTGCCATAATTTGCAAGGCATCCAGAAGTCTGGGATGGGGTTCTATATAAATAGAAGTGATTTGTTATTCAGAGGCGGTGGTGCAAAAAGACAGCTATTTTCTTTCTAAACACTCTTTGGTGTTGATGTAAACAAATAAAAAAAATACTGTTTAAACACACTAGAGCACAGCAACAGCCTCTAAGTCATAAAAGAGGGAGAGAAAAAAATGTCTGTGCCCTAACATTTTAAACAGGGGACTAGGAGTTTAAAGAGAAATTTATTCCCTGGCTTTTAGACCAGATTCATTACTTCTACATTTTATCTGTTATGTCTTGACTCTCACACTTTACCATATCAGGAAGAGGAAATCATGTGCCCCCAAGATTTTTATGCCAACAAAACTACTTTTGGTGGAAGTATAGCTCACCAGATGAAGAACATTAGAAAAACGCTAAGTGACAGACAATAGTAGAAACTGAAGTCTCAACTACTAAGTGCTAAATACTGGCATATACGAACGTAAGGAGCATGAAGAAGATTGCAAACATTAAAATGTTGCAAAAGTTTCAAATCTCATAGACTTGGGGGGGGAAAACAGAGAATGAAATGAAAGCGTTGTGTAGTAGGAGCCTTGAGAAGACCAGCTGGAAAGGAACATACAGGTCAAAAGGAGGGGAGGTAAGGGGTCTTTTGATCATCCCTCTACCAGCAGATGCTTCTAACAGCTTCAGTACTATCCCCAGGAGGCAATTTTAGGCATCATTAGGGAAAGTGATTCAGGCAACAAGCAAAAGGTGCTCTGAGACAGAACTATCGAGATGATGCTCAAATTTCTAACTTCCAAAAGATGCACTAGTGAGAGGCAACTGCCACGAAATCCCCAGACCATAATTCCCAGGCTTCCTGTAGAAAAATATCAACCATTCTCAGATATATAAACCAGCACTTTTGAAACTAACCCAGCAAAGTTTTCTGCTGGCCTTCACTATCTCTCAAACCCTCCTCCCTTCACTTCCCTGCTGTTCTTTCCTGGCACACAAAATATAGGCCAATGAGCGGTGGGTGGGTGAGGAGGATGTGAGAGAAAATTTGAGAAGTAAAAAAGGGAGCAACTTAACAAGGGCATGAATGAGACTACAGGGTCTATTAAAGGCAGGCAAACAATTAGAAGCACTGAAAAACGAAAAGGACTTTCCGGGCAGCAGTGAATGCTCAGTGTTGGTAGGGATTGAAGCAGAGGACAGACTACCTACCACTTGTCAGAGAGGCTGCAGAGGGGACGGCTGCTTTGGGTGACCTCTAATGTCTCTTCCGACTCTGAAATGTTAGGATTCTTATTTCACAAAAGAGAACGCAATGGTCATAGAAGCCCACCACTTCGAACCCTTTTAAACTAAAGCGGCCTAGGAGGCTGCTTCCCAAACACCACTCCCACCTCTCCCTCCCACACGTGCCCACCCCGCCCCCTTTCAATAGTCACCTCCACGTGCGAAATGCCTCGCGGCACTCGCCCCAAAGCGGATAGGCACCTTCCCCCGCAAAGCACCACAACTATGGCCCCCCGGGGAAGTGAGGGCTCCACTCTCCCACCCTGGGCGGCAAAAAAGTAAAAGTCTCAAATCCAGCCTCCCCCTTCCACCAGCCAAAGCTGAAGGGGGAGGTGACGGGACACAGAGGAAAACTTTCTTCTAAATTTTTTCTTCCAAAGAGTGTACATAGAGTGTAGAGAGAACCCCGAAGAGTCCGGGGCTGAGGGGGTTGGGGGAGGGGAACCCCCCGAACCGTTTAACGGCCGGTAGGGGGAGGGGAGCTTCGGAGGTTGAGGGGGCGTGGGATGGAGAAACAGGCCGGGGAGCGGGGTCAAAGAGCTGCAGGGGCTCCTGGGGTCGGGGAGCTGCAGGCGTTCCCCCCACCTGGCACACAAAGCGGCTGCCGCGCTCGGTTCTCACCAGATCCTTTGTGTTTTCCATCAGGGCCTCATGGGTAGGGGTTGTCCGTGCTCCCCGGGCCCGCGGCGCCCCCTCCCCGAGCTGGGGGCAGGCACCTCTCCCCGGGGCTACGGCGACTACAGGGGTGCCCCGGCTGGGCCCAGACCGGTGGCAGCTGCGGCAGCCCCCGGATTTCCCCCCTTTAACTAGGGTGGCCCCAGGATATCAACAACATTAGCATAGCCCTCCCTCCCCAGCGCGCCTGCGCCGTGACCCGCGCCCCGATTGGCCCACTTCCCTACATACCCTCCGCGCTCTGGTCCAGCGTGGGACCCTCTGCAGGCTCCGTACTCCAAGGGCCGTACCAAGACGAAGGGGTGGAAAATGCAATTGGGGCTCGTGTGAAGTAGAGTGGTTAAAAAGTCAGAAGGAAAAGTAAAAGTTTCATTTAGTCATCTCTGTTTATACTCTGGCTTTCATATGCTCCTTTCAATCAGTTGTGGCTGCTAAGTTGTGTTGGAAAAAAATTTCCACTCCAGTCACGCCGCCTCCCCCTCCACCCGGAAGATTGATCCTCCCGTAGGAACTCCCATACGGGAGGGGCTCGTGCGGGGAGTGGGCGTTACGTAGGGCGAGAGTGTTGGTCACGTGCTAGCAGGCTGCGCAGGCTCCTTCCGGCCCCTCGGGGCCTCAGCCGCAGCGGACAGCTCCTCGCCTCGGCGCACGCGCAGTGAGGTTCCACGTGAGCGCCTGCGTTTGTTCTCAAACCCAACGATGCCACCGGAACGGAGGAGCCGAACGAGACCGGAACGGAGAACTGGAGCGAGGCCGAACCGGAAGACCGGAATGAAGCCGGACAGGAAAGTCGGAGCGAGGCCGGGCGGGCCGCCCCGAAAGGCTGCTTATTCATCCCAGCGGAAACCGCCGGCCCGGCCGAGAGCAGCGGCCACTGCGATCGCAGTCGCAGCGGAGGAGGAGAGACGACTCAGGCAGCGGAACCGCCTGACGCTGGAGGAGGACAAGCCGGCAGTGGAGCGGTGCCTGGAGGAGCTGGTTTTCGGCGACATCGAGGACAACGAGGACGCGCTGCTGCAGCGTTTGCGAGGCCCGCGGGTGAGAGAGGCCGCGGTGCGCGGGCTGAGCGCGCTCGGGCGGGGCGCGCGGTAGGCGGCGAACCTCCGGAGGCGGAGCCTGGGCGACCTGCGGCGCCGAGGAGCACCCAGGTGGGAGGGAGCCCGAGAACGCGGGCGCCGAGCGGGCAGGCGGAAAGTCTCGGGAGCGCGGAGACCGCACCTCTCCCAGTCCGGGTGGGAGCGGCTGCGCCTGGTATCCAGCAGGCGCTCAGCACTTTGGCGACCTGGAGTCCTGAGCATCTTTCGTGGCTTAGCCCCATTTAGCTTCAAACTGTTTCTTCCTTCGTGGTCGTTTGATCGTCTGCCTCCAATACCTTGCGGTGATTCAAGAGTTCCACTTGGTTTGTGGAATCAGAATTCTTAGGCACGGGTCTGGAAATCTGCGTTTTAACATTTCTCCAAGTGACTGGCTCTCCAACTTTGATAATGACCCATGTATTCGTCTATTCAGCAAATATTTGTAAGCCTGATGGGTGCCAGCTATTTTTCCTGGCAATGAAAACCTGGAGTGATTATATTTTTTACACTTAAAAAAATTTTTTTTTTCACTTTTTGTTCAGATAGAGTGGGAGGGGGAGAGAGGAAGAGAGAGAAACATCCACGTGAAAGGGACGCATCGAGTGGCTGCCACCCGCACAGCCCTTACCAGGGCCAAACTGCAGCCAGGTAGGTGCTCTTAGTGGGAACCGAACCCGGGTCTCTCTGGACCGCAGGTCGATGCTCTAACTGCTGAGCCAAACCGGGGAGGGCTACACTTTTTCAAAAGTCATCTCTTTTATTATATACCTACTCCCCCTATCCCCGAAGATAGGTGTCCCCGGCTTTGTTCGAGGCACTGCAGGAGAAAGAGCAATGGGAAAAAAATGGACAAAAATCCCTGCCATGGTGGAGCTTATGTGGCAGAGACAGAAGATAGGAGATAGTACTGCTGTAAAACTCGCAGTGACAAGTGCTTAAGAGGAAAAAAATAAAAGCATTCAGGGAAAGGTAGTTAAGTGTGTGTAGAGAAAGCCTGTGAAGTTTTACGTAGGGTGGTCAAGCAGAGCGTCACTGATACTTGCAGTTTGCTAAATGAATGTGGACCTAGGAGGTATCAACTTGATTGCCAAAAACGCGTTGGGTTGCTTATGGGAGAAGCTGCAGAAATCTAGTAGGGAGATGGAGAACTACTGGAAGAATGCTGAAGGGTGTGACTGTTTCCTAGTCAGGAAAAGAAACAGTCTATGTGAGGTGGGATTTATTGGGCTTTGAAGGGTCATAGGCTGGTAACAGCCAATAAAAATTATTTGTTCATTTCTCTCAGGTAGTTTGGGGAAAGCTCAAGCTCACTTCAGGAGTAGTCTGTGGTCTGGATTTAGACTTAATAGTACAGTATAATAACTTCTTGAGATGTTAGGGGGTCAGGAATGGCAGAAAAATGGAGAAGAGATATGTCTAAGAATATGAAATATGAGTTAACTGTAGTGTTCAATTATGTTAGTTTTATCTTTGAGTGCTGGTCTGCCTCTGGTTTCATAATTTCTGTAGTTCTGGGGTTTTTCCTCTCTTTTTTTCATGTGTCATCTTATCTTTTGTTGTTCTTGTCTTACTTGGTCTTTTCCTTAGAGCATGTTGAATGTTCTCTCCTTGACTGTTCCCTCTTACCTCGCCTGTCCAGTGTGTGGTACCATTCTCTAATTTCTTATTTTTCCTCCAGCATTTGCTGTGGTAGCATTCAGGGAATGCTATTATTTTATAAGAGGGTTGTAAAAGCAAAGCACCCCTGGATATGAAAAACTCAGTGCTTGAGGGCATTTTGTCTTCTCTAGATTCAAGCCCAGGAAGACTCAGATGACTCAGAAGTGAAGAATGAAGCAAAAGATAATTTTGCACCTCGAAAGAAGCCAGTTTGGGTTGATGAAGAAGATGAAGATGAGGAAATGTAAGTTGTCAAGTTTTTCTTCCAATCTGTCTGGATACTTCACAAGTTATTTTGCAGGTTTGAAAAAAGTTCTCTTTAATGTGATTGTGTGAAGATTTGAAAAATATTGGAAAGTATAGGAAAGAAAAGGTCATTCATGATCCTGCCAACAAGGTTCAAACCACTGTTAACATGTTGGCTTACTACTCTTCTTTTCTGTTTTCTTCCCTGTTTAGACCTGATTTTGCCTCCTAATTTGGCCAGTTCCTAACTGATCATGGGCAAGTTTGGAACTACCTTTTCTTGTTTGTAAAATGGAGTTAATGACAGTAACTGTATCAAAGGCTCTTGAGATTAAATTAAATAGTACATATAGAGCTCTTTGCACAATGCCTGAAACTGAGAAAAGGCTAAAACAACTTAGCACATGCAGTATGCACTTTAGTAGATGAATGATTGTATTGCATGCATTTTCCCCCCGCTTAAAAACAACCCATCTAAATAAAGATTTTTATTTATTTTTTATCCTTACCCAAGGACTTTTTTGCATTTATCTTTAGATAGAGCAGGAGGGAGCGAGGGAAGAAGAGAGAGAGAGAAACATTGACTGGTTGCCACCCACACGACTCCAACTGGGGTGGGGACAAACTGCAACCGGCCAGGGCTCCTTCATAGTATTTTAAGGTTTGGTTTTTATATATTTAATTTTTGTTTTACCTGGAATTTATTTAGGTGAATAGCATAAGTTGTGTCTAAAGTCATTGTGGGTTTGAAATATTAATTCTTAAAAGAGTAAATTGTATAATCTGAAATGTTGGAGACTTTGTTTTGGGAAGAATAGAGAGAATGTGTGTCTGAGATGTTCCACATCTTGTGTCTGAGATGTTCCACATCTTACAAACCTTGACCTATATGGTTCAGTTAAAATAGTTTTCTCACCCTGGCCAGTTTTCTCAGTGGTTAGAGCATCAGCCTGGGGACTGAAGAGTCCCAGGTTCGGTTCCTGCTAAGGGCATGTACCTCGGTTGCAGTTTGCCCCTGGCCCTAGTTGGGGTCGTGTGGGTGGCAACCACTCGATGTGCCTCTCTCACGTCGATGTCCCCCACCCCATCTGAAGATAAATGCGAAAAAGTCCTTGGGTGAGGATAAAAAAAATAGTTTTCTCAAACTACTAAAGGTAATAATTGTTTATATTGTTTCTTTAAAATTCAATTAAAGCATGCTGTTCTGTTTTTTACAGGGTTGACATGATGAACAACCGTTTTCGGAAAGATATGATGAAAAATACCAGTGAAAGTAAACTTTCAAAAAATGAGCTTCAAAAGAGACTTAAGGAAGAGTAAGTATCCTTTTTCATATGATTGAACCGAGAAGTGTTTGTAACCAGTAATTTATTTTGTTTTGCTGAGTCTTTAGCTGTAATAGCTTCTTGGGTAGTATGATTTCTATTTTTAAACAGCATGAGCATTGCTATTAGAAGAAATGATTAAATTTTAGTATTTTGGGGGAAGAGGGAATACAAGTACAAAAAAATTTTGGAAAAATCTTGTAATCCCAGTACCCAAGTATCAGTGTTAATATTGCTTACTTGCTTGTTCATTTGTATAGGGTAAACCATCTCTTTTTCACGACTGTTAGGCTCTGTTAGTTGAACAGAGCTAGGAGATATATGTATATTTTAAAATAATGATTTTATATTGATTTTTCCAGTTCAAGCTTGCAGATCTTTTTTAAAATTGATTTTTGAAAGAGAGAGAGAAACATTGATCAGCTGCCTCCTACATTTGCCCTAACCAGGGCTAGAACTCGAAATCTGTGTATGTGCCCTGACCAGGAATCAAACCTACTACCTTTTGGTATATGGGATGAATTACAACCAACTGAGTCAGGGCCAAACTTGCAGATATTTAAAGATATTTAAAAATTTTATTTTTGTTTGTACTGACATTTAAAAAAATTCCTAGAGGCTTATTGCATTATCACTTTTTTAAAAAGTAGATTTATTAAAATATAATTTATAGTGAAATTCACTCTTTTAAAATATCTTTATGAATTTTGTTAAACACATAGTCATGTTAGCATTGCAACAATTAAGATAAGGAATCAAAATATAGAATATTGCCATCACCCCCCAAAATTCTTATATTCCTTTGTAGTCTACCCTCTCTCTCCAATTTCTAACCCTCTAGCCCTTGACAACCACTGATATTTTTTGTCCTTATAGATTTGTTTTTTCTAGTGTTACATAAATGAAACATAGTATGTAGTTTTTTGAAACTACATTTAGTGAATCTGTTATATTTCAGGTGTTACATTTTTTGGCTTTAGAAGGTCTTTTTAGTTTGAGACCTTGTTGTATTTTGTTTAGGCTACTTCCCTTTTGTTGTGTTAAACTCTGTTAAAATACTTGAATTATTTTTATTAGTTATTTCAACATCTTTGTGTGCTAATTCTGTTATGTCTGTCATTTTTGTGTCTGTTTCTATTGGCTGATTTTACTTCTGGTTATGGGTCACGTTTTTCTGCTTCTATGCATGTCTAGTAGTTTTTTAAAAATATGTTTTTATTGATGTGTTTAGAGGAAGAGGAAGAAAGAGAAGAAACATTGATGAGAGAGATACATCAATTGGCTGCCTCCTGCATGCCGCCTACTGGGGATGGAGCCCACAACCTGGGCTTGTGTCCTGACCTGGAATCAAACCGGGACCTCTCAGTCTATGAAAGGACTCTTTTTTTTTTTTAAATTCTCACCCAAAGATATTTTCTCAAATATCTTCAGATAGAGTGGGGGGTGGGCATCGATGTGAGAGGGACACATCTACTAGCTGCCCCAGCCAGGGCCAGGGAAGAACCGCAACCAAGGTACGTGCCCTTGGCTGGAATTGAACCCGAGACTCTGGTCCAAGAGCTGACGCTCTAACCGCTGAGCCAAACCGGCCAAGGCCATGGGAGGATTCTTAATCCACTGAACCACATCGGCCGGGCACGTCTAGTAATTTTGATTGGATTCTGAGGTGTGTGAGTGTTAAGTTCAGTGCCTGGATTTTTTTGTTTTTAGCTTTTAATGAATGTTGTACTTTGTGTTGGCAGGCTGCTAATTGGCTTGGAGATCAGTTTGATCCTTTAAAGATTTGTTTTTACCTTTGTTCTAGAGTAGCAAATTATACTCGAGGCTGGTTTAGTTCTGTTACTAGGTGTGCCCTTTCTGGGATCTCTACTGAATGCCAGAGTATTCAGTAAGGACCTTCTCTAACTGGTCGTAATTCAGATGTCTGAGCTTTGACATCGTGCAACATACAGCCTCTTAATAGTTCTTTGCCAGACCTCATGGAGTTTTTTGTTTTTTGTTTTATCCTTACCTGAGGACATTTTTCCATTTTTTTGTTCAGATAGAGTGGGAGGGAAAGAGGGGAAAAGAGAGAGAGAGAAACATCGACGTGAAAGGGACACATCGAGTGGCTGCCTCCCACATGACCCAACCAGTTGGGGACAAACTGCAACCAAGGTACATGCCCTTAGCGGGAACCGAACCCAGCTCTCTCTGGACTGCAGGCCAACGCTCTAACCGCTGAGCCAAACCGACCAGGGCTCATGGAGTTTTTATCCTGTGAGTGTGCAGCTTAGTATTCAGCAAAAGTGCCTGTGGATCCCTGTGCAGATTTCTGCAACTCTTTCTCTTCTGTAGTTTACTGCCCTTAACAATTGTAGTTGTCCCAGCCTCTTTCAAGTCTGGTCTTTTTCTCCTCTGTGCCAGGGTCTTTTAAAATGCCTTCAGGGCCCTGGCTGGTTTGGCTCAGCGGTTAGAGCGTCTGCCTGCGGCCCAGAGAGGCCTGGGTTCGGTTCCTGCTAAGGGCACATTCCTTGATTGCAGTTTGTCCCCGGCCCTGGTTGGGTCATGCGGGAGGCAGCCATTTGATGTGTCCCTTTCACGTTGATGTTTCTCTCTCTCTCTCCCTCCCACTCTGAACAAAAAATGTCCTCGGGTGAGGATAGAAAAAAAAAAATGCCTTCAGGGAAAAATCCTGGTGATGGTAGGGACTCACCTTGTTATTTCCCTTCTCTCAGGAACTATAGTACTATGTTGCCTGTTGTCCGATTTCTGAAAACAGTTTCATGTATTCTGTCCAGTTAATTTGGTGGGCTTGTCTGTACTTCTGTATTAAACAAAATGACTCCTTACGCTCTTTTAGATACCAGCCCTTCAGAATATAAATATCATGCTTCTCCTAAAACTAACTTTCTTTCAGAGTGGAACTCCCATTTTATTCAAAGGATATATGATGGAAGTTTTGTATATTGTTAGCAATTTGGTCATTTTGTTTCCAGACACATTCTTTCATATACTCTTTACTGTAGCATTGGTTTATAAGCACAAAGAGGCTTTTTTTTTTTTTACTTAGTCCAGAGACTGGGATGTGCTGAAATGAACAAATAAGACAACTATGTAACTAGATGTAAATAATTAACAACAAATATGTATCCAAGTGCCCTGTATCCAGGACTACTTTAGATAGAGGTTCATGCCCTGGCCGGTTTGGCTCAGCGGTTAGAGCATCGCCCTGCGGTCCGGAGAGACCCGGGTTCGGTTCCCACTGAGGGCATGTACCTCGGTTGCAGTTTGTCCCCGGCACTGGTTGGTTGTGTGGGTGGCGACCACTCGGTGTGTCCCTTTCACATCGATGTTTCTCTCTCTCTCTGTTCCTCTCTCTCCCTCCCACTCTATCTGAACAAAGAATGGAAAAATGTCCTCGGGTGAGGATGATAAAAAAAAAAAAAAAATTAATAGATAGAGGTTCATGAAAGTTTCCAAAGTAAGTATGCCTGGACTATTTTGTGAGTAGCCCTTCTGTTCTTAAAGATAGTAACTTCTTTGGAAGAGAATCTATACATTTTCTCACGGATGATCTTACCTATAGTCTTTAAATGTATCAAGCTCTGTGAACGTACAGTGGTTACCATTACAAATTTTTCATACTTTTGCTCAGATTCCAGCATGCGATGGGGGGAATACCTGCCTGGGTAGAGACTAATAAGCGGAAAACATCTTCTGATGGTGAGTATTGATACCTTTGTTTAAGTTCTATTCCTGTTCTGTTCTTATTTGAGTTTTAATTAAAACCTGGTGATGGTAGGACTCACCTTGTTATTTCCCTTCTCTCAGGAACTACAGTACTATGTTGCCTGTTGTCCAATTTCTGAAAACAGTTTTGTGTATTCTGTCCAGTTTTCTAGTTTTTATGACTAGTGGGTTTGTCTACACTTCTGTATTAAACAATTAAAATGACTCTGTTTTAAATACAACCTTTTTTTTAAAATATCTGGTTTTGAAGTCTACAATTTCTCTGAGGGAAGCCCTTTTACAACAACATAAGGCTTAACAGCATATTCTCAATTATAAGGCCATAATGGGTGGATTTTATGATTTTTTTTTCCTCAACAGAAAGAACTATGTTGCATTATGGCATAGGATTAAGGAAAAATGAATAGTATTGTTACTTCTTAATTCAGTCTCTTCTGAAGACATGGCAGCTAATCTAGTTGTCCAGTAGGAAATGGGATGTCTTCCTAAGGAGCACAAAACTTACTTTTCAACTCTAGGTTTTAAGTTTGGTTTTTACCATAACGGTTTTCTGCTTTTTAGATCTTTGAGTTTAGCTATAACTTTGAATGGCTTAGTCAAGATCTGATTTATGTGCTTGGAGTTACACAGTTTAGACTTGGAATTGACCTTTGAAATCCTTTAGGGAATCCAGAGTATGCCCTTTCACATAATTCAGGAGCTCCTTCCTTAGCATCCTTGATAACTGATGAATTTCTGTTTACTTACCACCATGACCTCTTCCTCCCTTCACCCTACCTGCTAATCCACACCTTTGCCACACCTGTCAGTCCTAAAGGTGGTAAAGTACAGGGAGCCCATACGAAGGAGCTGTTTGTTTTGTATAATGCTGTTGGGAAACTCAGTCTATTATTAAATAGAAGTTTATCTTCTGGTTTCCAGCCAGATACTTGAGGGAATCTTGGTGTTGTAGACTCACTTAATAAATCACTGCAAGATCTACAACATCTGTTAGATGATAATTTAGCTTCTGCTTAAATATATAATATATTCTTTCTTCCCCTTTTCTTTAAGAATTAATTGTTAGGCTCTGGCCAGTTTGGCTCAGCAGTTAGAGTGTCGGCCCAGGGACCAAAGAGTTGTGGGTTTGATTCTGGTCAAGGGCACGTACCTTGGTTGGGGTTTGTTCCGGGCCCTGGTTGGGGTCGTGCAGGAAGCAATCAGTCAGTGCATCTCTCTCACGTTGATGGTTTTCTCTCTCTCTCCCTCTCTCCCTCCCTCCTTCCCACTCTATCTGAAGATAAATAGAAAAATATCCTCAGGTGAGGATTAAAAAAAAAAGAACTAATTGTTAGGATTTTTTTTTTCTATTTTGAAATTGACTTCCCTACCCTCTGTAAGCCCTACCTTTTGAAGATACATAATTTTACCCCTCTTTCATATTAAAAAAACCCATTTTTCTGTTACTTGAGAAATCTCTTTCCAAGGTTTTTTTAAAAGTGTTTAATATTCCTTGTCATTTAACCTTCATAGAATCACAGCATTTTAGATCTATGTAATTATAGATATGATTATGCTGGCTGTTGAAACAGAAAACCTCTCTTTTCCTAGTGGCTTAATCCAGTAGAAGTTGTTTTTTTGTGTGAGTAAAATTGGGGTAGTGAGAAGATGATTATCTACTTTAGGGACCCAAGTTTATAGAAGTTCTATCATCTTTAGACTGGGTCTTTCAAAGTTGCCTAAGATGTTGACATCTAGTTGGCTTTATAGGGGAAGAGAGAGTGTCTCGCCCAAGGGAGGTGTTCATTGGCCTGTCCTGTAAGTGGCATATTGATACTTTCACCTACATTTTATTGGCCAGAGCTTAGTCATGAGGCCACAATAACTGCCTGGGATAACCAGGAAATGTAGTTTGACTTCGTACCCAGAATAAAAAGGAAATGGACTAGGTCAACAATTAGCCAGTTTGCTACCATCTGGGATATCTTAGTCTAACTCTTTCATTTTACAGATTGAGAAGAGTAAGATTCAAAGGTGAAATTGACTTGCCCAAGGTATATTTCTTCACAGTTATTTCCAACATGTTATTTGTTATTTTTATCATTGAATATTTTTCATTGAATATCTTTAAAAGAGAATACTTCTCCTTTGAACATAACTACAATGCTATCATATCATTATATATCTCAAAAATCAACAGTAATTCCTTAATATTATGGACTATTTTATTGTTGCTGTTTTAATCTCCCCCCACCCCGCACCCCACACTTTTTAGCTTGCTATGTATTCTACTTGGTCTTTATGGTGTTTTTGAATCTGGCTTAATGTCTTTTTTAAGTTTTGGAAATTCTTGCCTATTATCTCTTCAGATATTTCTGTTCCAGTCTACCAGTTACGTGTATGATAAATGTTTTTATTTTCAACATATTCTATGTTCTTTTCTTTATTTTTTCTCTTTTTCTGCTTTTTATACTTTAGTCTGGATATTTCTTTTCTGATCCATTTTCCAGACCATTCATTCTCCTACTAATTTTGATAGACTGTTAAAAAAATTCCTTTGGGATCTTGAAGTTAACTTATCTAGCTCAATTCTGATTCTTGTCTTTCATTATTATTATTTTTTTAAATCCTCACTCGAGTATATATTTTCATTTATCTTCAGATAGAGTAGGAGGGAGAGAGAGAAACATCTATGTGAAAAAGACACAACAACTGGTTGTCTCCCGCACAACCCCAACCAGGGCTGGGGACGAACCGCAACCGAGGTATGTGTCCTTGACCGGAATCAAACCCACAACTCATTGGTCCTCAAGCCAACTCTGTAACCTCTGAGCCAAACCTGCCAGGGCATCTTGTCTTTCATTATTCTTGAACATATTAACATTGTGTTTTTAGTTTATGTCTGAAAACTCCTTTATCTAGATCTCCTATGAGGATTGTATGTTTCTCCTTAGGTTTTTAAGGTAGTTAAATTACCTTATCTTGACCTAGTTGTATTTCATTGAGTGCTAGCTATTGTTTATGAAAAATAGTATTGATTAGAGGTCTAGGACAATGATATCTTACTCCAGCAAATTGTACACAGTTGATCCTTGAAAAACAGTTTTGAACTGCGTGGGTCCACTTATATATGGATTTTTTTTTTTTCAGTTGACCTGCGCCATTCATTTGACCCACACAGTTCAAACCTGCATTGTTCAAGGATCAACTGTATTTTTTTCTGGGTAGTTGATTGGACAGTGATCATTAGCAGTCTCAGAGCTTCTTTCTCCAGTGAGAGATTGTGAAGATTCAAAGCTGGCTTTCAGTTCCTGGAAAATTTTCTCATAATTCTTTAATTTCACCCTTAATTTTAGGTGTTGCCTTTTGTGTCCCCAATCCAAAACCTTACAGGGCTTTTAGTGCCTTTTCCCCCTCTTCTTAGCCCCAGGAATGTTTTTAAAACTCTGCTTAGCTTCACAGCTCTTTACTAGAATCAGCCATCATCTTTAGGGAAGAAACAGCCCTGGTAGTCTCTTTGAAGTTCTGATGTCCAGTTTGCTAACGTTGATCCTTCAGTCCACCTAAAGTTCTAGTTCTTTTTCAAGGGAGTTGTTAAGCTACATCTGCTGTCTGCCCTGTTGCTAAATAACTCAGTTACAGATTCTTTGTAAATTAAATGTTGACTTTCAACTTCATTTCATCTTGTTTTAGTCATTGCCTGTGAATGTGTCTTTCACTCCAGAGTCAGGCTTTGATTTTGACCATATATATTGAGCTCTGTATCATCTTTTTCCTCTATTTCAAATTTATTTTGCTGTTTTACTTTTACCAGCTTAAATAAAGTAGTTGAAGTTGGAGGCTGGAAAGGGAGTTGAAGTCTCAACTATAGACATTTGGGGTAGGCCACCTCCTTGATTCTAAAGATCAGCCTTGTGGGTTTGTTTGACCTAGATGAAAGTGACGAGGATGAAGATGACTTGTTGCAAAGGACTGGGAATTTCATATCCACATCAACTTCTCTTCCTAAAGGAATCTTAAAGGTGAGAGTCAGTGGAATGGGGCCTATCCAGCTAATTACTTCTGAAATTCAGTATGCTTCCCAGTTACAAATGTATGTATGGATTCCTTTTGTCTGTGGGATTAAATGTGTTTGCTGTCACTTTGCCATGGTCAATACTTACACTAGTTGTTTATCCATTACAAAAACTATCAAGAAAATTAAATTATGTCCCTAGGACTCTTTTGGGAATTCTATTTGATTTCTCCTTTTACGTTTCTCTTTTTCTTTTCTTTTTTTAAAAAATATATTTTCATTTTTATTTTTAGAGAGAGGAAGGGAGAGAGTGATAGAAACATCAATTGGCTGCCTCCTGCTTGCCCCCTACTGGGGATCAAGCCTGCAACCTGGGCATGTGCCCTGACTGGGAATCGAACCGGGACCTCTCAGTTCATGGGATGAAGCTCAATCCATTGAGCCATACTGGCCAGGCATTGTTTTTCTTTGTTTCTGTTGGCACCAGCCTAGTTCATACTGCTGTCATCTGTCACCCCATTTGCTGTAATAGCTTTGTAACTAGTCTCCCTACTTCGTTTTTACTTCCTCGTAAGCTATTCTTCATATAGTAGCTAGAGGGGTATTTTAAAAATAAAGCATCAGGTTATGTCACTTTTCACTGCTTTTAAAATACTTCTAAATTCCCTATCATAGGCTGCTCTGCCCTTCATGATCTGGCTTCTGCCTACATCAAAATTTCATCTCAGACCTTTCCCCCATATATCTTACTCAAGCCATGCAGGCCTTATTTCTGTTTCTTGAATGAGCTGAGTCCTTTCTTGCCTCAGAACCTTTGCTCTTGCTCTTGCTCTTCCTCTTCTTTCTGCCTGTCTATTCTGCCTGCCTGTGTATTTAGATGGGGAAGGAGACCCTATTGTAAATTGTTAGGCAACAGAGTGGTTCTGTCTCCCCCCACCTTAAGAACACAATTCACCGAGCTCCTCATAGGGTGAATTCACCTCCATTGAAAATGTACTCACCATAAAAATGTAACGTCAGTGGTTACAAACAAAGAAATAACTGAATATAGTTTGAATGATGCATGAGATTGTCATTACTTTAAATGAACAACCATGCACTCTGGAGAGAAACATGGGAACGACCACATAGTGCCTCTTTGTGCCATGAATGCCAGGGTACTTTTAAATAAAATATTCTTGGAGGTCAAAGTCTCCTAACACAAATAGGGTGTATCACAGAAGGTCATGGCTTTGATTCCTGGTCAGGGCACAGGATTTGATTCCCTCATCTGGGCACGTAAGGGAGACAAATTGATGTTTCTCTCTCACATCAATGTTTCTCTCTCAAAAATCAATAGAAACATACCCTTGGACGAAGATTAAAATTAAAACATTCAAATAGGGTGTATCTTGGGGGAATGACTATATCTTGGTACTCCAAGACCTTAATGATTTAATCCTCTCATTTGAAAGATGATAAAAATGGCCCTGGCCGGTTTTGCTCAGCGGTTAGAGCGTCGGCCTGCGGTCCCGAGAGACCCGGGTTCGGTTCCCGCTAAGGGCATGTACCTCGGTTGCAGTTTGTCCCCGGCCCTGGTTGGTCGTGCGGGTGGCAGCCACTCGATGTGTCCCTTTCACATCGATGTTTCTCTCTCTCTTCCTCTCTCCCCCTCCCACTCTACCTGAACAAAAAATAGAAAAATGTCCTCAGGTGAGGATAAAAAAAGAAAGATGATAAAAATGGGTTATTGTGTGGTAAAATGACTTGCTAGTTGGTAGCAGAACTGTGGTCTTCTGGTTACCATTCCGGTGGGTTTTCTTCTGTAGATAAACCACTTTATAATGTTTTTCTTTCATGTTCTAAAGGAAATAATGTTAACCCATTTGAATTGATAAAATTCCAGCTTTGTTTTTTCTTAGATGAAGAACTGCCAACATGCAAATGCTGAACGTCCTACTAGTGCTCGGATTTCTTCTGTGCAGTTCCATCCTTGTGCACAGGTGGTGATGGTTGCTGCACTAGATAACTCTGTGTCACTACTTCAGGTATGCATTTTTAAATGAAGATTTGCAGTGAAAAGTGTTTACTATCAGGATACAGGGTCCATGGAAATAACCAAAAGGCATGTTTTGTACTTTCTCACAGGTTGATGGAAAAACAAATCCTAAAATTCAGAGCATTTACTTGGAAAAGTTTCCGATCTTTAAGGCTCGTTTTACTGCTAATGGAGAAGAGGTTTTAGCCACAAGTACCCACAGCAAGGTGCTTTATGTCTATGATATGTTGGCTGGAAAGTTAATTCCTGTACATCAAGTGAGAGGTAAGGTTTCTGTTGAACATATATAGCTGGTCATGCCCCCACTCCCCAGCCCACAGCTAAGTTCATTTAATATTATTTACAGCCACTTATTTTCCTCCCCATAGTATTCTTTTTCTTTTTTCTAATCCTCACCTGAGGATATGTATTTTCTTTAATGTTTTTATTGATTATTTTAGAGAGAGGAAGGGAGAGGGAGATAGAAACATCGATGTGGGAGAGAAACATCGATCGGCTGCCTCCTGCATGCGTCCTGTTGGGGGTCAACCTGAATATGTGCATTGACAGGGAATTAAACCCACCACCTTTTTGGTGTATGGGACAGTGCTCCAACCAACTCAGTCATACTGGCCAGGGCTCTTAAAAATATGTGTGTGTGTGTGTGTGTGTTTTAGAGAGAGGAAAGGAGAGAAAGAAACATCGATAAGAGAGAAACATCAATCAGCTGCATCCTGCACTCTCTTTCACTGGGGATGGAGCCCGAAACCTGTGTGTGCGCCCTGACCCGGAATCTTGCAGTCCTTGGGAGCCACACCAGCTGGGGCTCTCTTTTTTGTTTTGGTGGTACATGCCCATAGCGGGAACTGAACCCGGGACTCTCTGGTCCACAGGCCGACGCCTAACTGCTGAGCCAAACTGGCCAGGGCTGGGGCTCTCTTTTTTTAAAGAGACTTTTTATAAGTTTATTTGAGCCAAACTGACAATGTATGCCAGGGAAGAAGATCTGAAATCCTCCCTCCCCATAGAATTCTTAAAAATAAGTTTCTTTAGTTTTAGTATTGTTTAGAAAATGTCATTGCGTTGTTGAGATAATGTTTTATTGAAAACAGTGAACTGACTTTACATCAAGCACTAAAGGGAAAATCATAATTTGGATAGCTATATCCTCCTAGATCAGAAAAGCAGTTGCAGGTACTTGTCTGTAAAATTAGCAATTAATGCAGCAGAAAGAACATGAGCCTGGGAGCCAGAAGACTTGGGTTTCACTTCCATGGACAAGTTATTTCACCTCTCTGCTATTCAGGAGATGTGGCTACCCTCTAGTTCTAGTGTTTGTTATAATAGAATTTTGACTTAGATTTATTTATTTAAAAAAATTTTTTTTTTCTTTATTGATTTTATAGAGAGGAAGGGAGAGGGAGAGAGAGATAGAAACATCAATTTGCTGCCTCCTGCATGCCCACAACCTGGGCATGTGCCCTGACCGGGAATCGAACCTGTGACCTTTTGGTGCGTGGGTCGATGCTCAACCACTGAGCCACACCAGCTGGGCTGATTTACATTTAAAGGAAATAAAGCACTGCTTTTAAAGATTGTAATGTATTTTAAAGCATGAGCTACTTAAAAGTTAAACTTTTTATCCGGTGTTAATTTGTTTCTTCTACCCTTCCCATTCTTCCTTTGTACTTTCCTACCCCATTACCACAAAATATAGCAACACCTTCATGAATTCTTTGGGAACCAAAGCCCTTGTAATAAGATCGGCTGGGGGCTAGCATTATAAACCCTGGGAGGTGGTGCTGGCCTGTGCTGCAGGCCTAACTGGCGGTATCTCTGTTAAACTGTGTGGGGTGGGCTGTGAAGGATGGGGTAGCTCTCTCTCCAGCCTGTTTTCTGCTAGTGAAAAAGGCCAACTTTAGAAACATTTCTGGCGTTTATTCTCTAATTTTCTCTTTTCTATTTCTGACACCTTTAGTGATTCTTTCCAAGTTGGTTTTTAGTTTATCTCATGCTTTAAAGTGGTGTTTCCCAAATGTTAATGTGCATGGGAATCACCTGGGGATCTTGTTAAAATGCAGATTCTGAGTCTGTGGGTCTGGGATGGGGACTTACTCTGCTTTTCTAACAAGCTTTCAGGTGGCGCTGATGCTCCTGATCCCTGAACCTTACTTGGAGTTGAAAAACCTTAAAACCATCTCCCTATATTGAAATAGAAAATGGTGTAGTACTTGTTGTTTTTACATATTCCATTAATCAAAAGGAATAGGCTTTAGTTTTTCCTTGCATCCTTTTGGGAAAAGCAAATGAGGGGTTGGCCAAGAAACAGTTAGTGACGTTTACCCTGGATATGCTGGTAACATCATTTATCTTTTCCTCTCAAAATTTTCTCTTTTCTTCCTCAATAAGTATAGCTTGGTAATAATGATGACAGTTATAGTAATGATAAATTGTTTTTGTGGTGATATGCTATTGAACACTATTCTGAGCCTTATCATTAGAAAACACTATAAGTAACTCAAGAAGTTATTAATTAAGGGTATTAGAATAAGGGGGAAAAGGCTGACTTAGGATATGCAAGCCTTATACATATGCAAATTTGAAAATTGAAAACTACAGAATTGATGCAAATGATACATTCATTAATTGTTGGATTTGATAACCTGGGGTTCATACTGTGGGATCCATGAACTCTCACAATTTTATGAATAGAATTTAGGGTCCATGAAGTTAGATGGGAAAAATATTACATCTTTATTTTTATTAACCTCTAACTGAAATTTAGCATTTTCTTCCATTATAAATGACTTATAAACCATTATTTTGAGAAGGGGGCCATATGCTTCACCAAGTTGCCAAAGGAGGAATGGCACAAAAAAGGTTAAGAGCCCCAGATTACTAGTTCAAACTCTAGTATTTGACCATTTGGGAATCAAATAAGTTGGTCACATAGGCACCTTTATCTTTTTTTTTAAGGTAATCACCATTTTGATAATAGATATTATGGTAAGGTAAATCTCTGAACCTTAATTTTCTCTTTTTGTAAACTCAGAGGGCCATAAATATTAGAAGACATATATATATATGTGTATATATATACATATACAAAAACTTTTAAAGTTTTTATTGAGCCCTGGCTGGTTTGACTCAGTGGTTAGAGTGTTGGCCCGTGGACAAGTGAGTCATGGGTTCAGTTCTGCTTAAGGGCATGTACCTCGGTTGTGGTTTGTCCCAGGCCCTGGTTAGGGTCGTGCGGGAGGCAGCCAGTTGACATGTCCCTCTCACATCGTTTCTCTCCCTCCCTCCCTCTCTCTCCCTCCATCCCACTCTATGGAAATGTAAGAGAAATGGAAAAATATCCTCAGGTGAGGATTAGAAAAGAAATGTTTTTATTGATTGTTTTAGAGAAAAGATAGGAGCATCAGTGTGAAAGAGACACATCGATCGGCCACTTCCTGCATGCCACCCACACTGGGGATTGAGCCTACAACCCAGACATGTGCCCTGAGAGAATCGAACAGGGACCTGTCAGTCTATGGGACGATGCTCAACCAACTGAGCCACACTGGCCAGGCAAAAGAAATATTTTAAAGCTTCTAATTTAACACCTACTACATGGTAAATGCTTAATAAATGTTAACTGCTGCTCTTGTTAGGAATAACATATGATCTATCTGTTGCTTGATCACAATTTTCAGACCGGTGGAGGCAGACCAGACCTTGGTTCAGCAACCTTGTACTTGAGTTCTGGCTAAGAAAGAATTCAGAGCCAAGACTTAAACTATAAGAGAAAGTTTATTAGAAAGTCACAGAGGTAGCCCTGGCCGGTTTGGCTCAGCGGTTAGAGCGTCGGCCTGTGGTCCAGAGAGACCCGGGTTCGGTTCCCGCTAAGGGCACGTACCTCAGTTGCAGTTTGTCCCTGGCCCTGGTTGGGTCGTGTGGGTGGAAACCAGTAGATGTGTCTCTCTCACATCGATGTTTCTCTCTCTTCCTTCCTCTCTCACTCGCTCTATCCGAAGATGAATGCAAAAAGTCCTCAGGTGGGGATAACAAAAACAACAAAGAATGTCACAGAGGTAGAAGTGAGCTGTAGAAGGAATGGGCTCAGGAGACAAGTTAACGAGGCAAAAGAAGGGCCCTTTAGAGCTTAGGAAAGTGAAAGGTAAAGCTAAGGTAGCGTGCCTGGGGGAAGGCCAGGGGAAGGGGAAAGGCCTGGGGGTGCTGGGAGGAGGGGGAGCCAGAGCACTGCACCAGGTCCCCCATCTTGAGGGTATTTACAGGCATCTCGCCACTTCGCGCGTCGACTTTCACGGCTTTGCTCTGGCGGTTTTCTCTAATAAGGTATAGTACTTGAAAAACCGCGACTGAGTGAAGCCGCGAAAGTCGAAGCGCAAAGTCATGAGGGACAACTATATAAATAAAGAATCCTGCCCTGGCCGGTTTGGTTCAGAGAGACCCGGTCCGGAGAGACCCGGTTTCAGTTCCCACTAAGGGCCTGTAGTTTGTCCCTGGCCCTGGTTGGGTCATGCGTGTGGCAGCCACTCGATGTGTACCTTTCACGTCGATGTTTCTCTCTCTCTCTCTCCTCTCTCCTCTCTTCCCCTCCCACTCTATCTGAACAAACAAACAAAAAACAAAGGGAAAATGTCCTCGGGTGAGGATAAAAAAAAAAAGAATCCTACTTCGCGGAAATTCATTTATTGTGGTAGAGTCTGGAACTGATTAACTACAATAAATGAGGGCCGACTGTATTTGGAGGTCTCAGAGAAGGATCTGAATAAATATCAGCTTTCCAGGTGTGTTCTTTCAGGGTCCTGGTCTCCACCGATTGGTCATTGCCAGGGACAGGGGTCATTAGTCAGTGCATCTGGTCCTGATGTCAGTCACTTGTCTGGTTTTGCTGCTTTTCTGGTCCTGGAGCTGAAACGAAACTGAGGCCTAGATGTTATCCCTGGAGGATAATGCTTAAGGGAGTGTCTTTGCAAGGGCCTGAATGTGAGTAGCATGACCCACTCTTCAGCCCCTTGTTTCTTATCCAAGGGGGATCTATGCATGACTAGTGACTTGCCAAGGGAGGTGAGGTCAGGGAGTATTCAAGCCACATGACCAGCGATATGAAAGGTCAGTTAGCTAGCGGGTGGAAACCGCATAATCAGTGATATGATAGGGGGAGGAAAGATTACCCTGGGGCAAGGTCCTTGTTTTCCCTGTTGCTAGGCACCCAGGGCTTTCTGCCCTGGTGACCTGTACCTCGCCTATGGTCCTTGTGCTCATGTCTGCCTAACTGCCTACCACAAATCCACTTGCTGTACTATGGAATTTGGCTCTGTTCTAATTAAACTGGCCATTCCTTTTCTTATCAATTGTCAGCAGTTCACCTAAAAATCTTATTCACAGATCTGTAAAAAGATTTGTATTTGACATCTTTAAAGCACTGTATCTTCTTTCCTTAGGCAACATTATACATTTTATCTAACTCCTACTTTGAAAGGTCCAGCATTTGTAAAGAGCAATTATAATACCAATACTAACATTTATTATTACTATTTTTTTGTGAGGTTAAAAATGCTATATATGTACATATAACTACTATAATACATCATAATCTTTGAGTGAAAATACAGTTACCTTATTTTTCCGGTTAATTGCTAAAGCAACTACCTGTCCTTATTTGTTGGCATTCTATTTACTTCTTGAAGACTTCCCCGCTCCTGAGTTGTTTCCAAACAACAGACTTACTCAGGCCAAGAACGCAAGGTCTTCCAGCCACCTGCAGGCCTCGCTGTGGAATGAATCCTCTGGCACTTTGCTTCTGTTGCTGCCACACTGGGTCTGTGTTCATCGTGGTCCTGCACAGTATGAGGGAACTTTGTTCACTGTTACTGTGTTGATACCTGTGTAGTCTGTATCCCTGCAAGGCCGCAGTGGTGCCAGCTCTATAGGCTTCAAGGTGAACACTTTTTAGTCTTCTCTTGCATTCCCACTACCTGATGCTGTGCCATTAGGGTTAGGTCTGCAGGGGTTCCCAGCTGTAGCCTTGCACTGTGCTAGCACTAGCCTCCCTGCCCTGCTTCATCATCTAATGATACTCTGTTTCTGTTTGCCGCAGTCAGTGCAGTTTGCCCCAAATTAGGAAATTCCTAAGAAGAAATTTTAATAGAAATAGAGTCATCGTGAAGGAGTTTGGTCAGCAGCAGCAGAAGTAACCCCAGTGATTAGAAATAATGTGTCTGGATTGATTCTAACCAATCCCCAGGGTGTCATTTCTGGAGACAAGACTGGAATGGGAGGCCCAGTTTATAGCAGTGTTAATAGGATAGAAACGGTCTATCCTAGGAGCCCCAACCAGCATTTTCCTGTAGGGGAATAAGGGTTCTTCACTAGATTTTTCTTAATTCCTTATTTCTGATCAATATTTTAACTTAGCAGTTTCAATTTTTTTTAAATAATTTTTTTTTGACTAGGCAGTTTGTTCACATGGTGCAAAAATCCAATACTTAGAAATGGATGGATAGTGGAAAAGTGTCTTCTGCTTCATTTCTCTGGCTACCTTCTTCTCTTCCCTGGAGGTAGCCAGTTATGTCCTTTTTTTTTTTTTAAATCCTCACCTGAGGACATTTTTATGCATTTATCTTCAGATAGAACGGGAGGGAGGGGGGGGAGAGAGAGCGAGAAACACATCGACTGGTTACCACCCACACAACCCCAACCAGGGCCAGGGCCAAACTGCAACCAAGGTATGTGCCCTTAGCAGGAACCGAACCCAGGATTGTCTGGTCCGTGGGCTGATGCTCTAACTGCTGAGCCAAACCGGCCAGAGCAGTTATGTTCTTTTTTATGTATCTTTTTTATGAGGCAATTTTTTAATGAGTAACTTGGAGTTCTAAGCATTCTGATACCTGGAGTCTCCTGCATAATCAGTATGAGCCTTTTAGGCATGGAAAAGGGTCATATCCCTTTGTAAATAAGTTTACTGACTCTGGTTTATATACCTAGCTCATGTTGGTTACATGAATCTCATCTTGAGAAGCCAATCAACTGTTGAATACAATGACAGCTTGTGTTTTCTGTCTTTCTTTCCTTTTTGTATCCACAAAGTTAAAGATTAGGCTCCCAGTTCATCGTGAGATGTTTAGCAGGTGGCCAGCAACTAGTTTCTATATGTTGTTATGTTTTTGGCTCCCTCTAACGTCAGTGTATTTCCTTTCTGGTAATGAAATTTGTGACCAAAAGGTATAATTTGTCCTTTTAGTCAATTATGGGTATTACTGCTGAAATTTGGAAAATTAATTATTAGGTTTACTGTTAGAGAGTGGAGTCTTTGGCCTGCAATTAAAATGGTGAATGTTGCCCAGTCAATGTGGCTCAGTGGATTGAGCATTGCCCCATGGACTGAGAGGTCCTGGTTCCATTCCCGGTCAGGGTATATGCCTGGATTGCGGGCTTGATCCCCAGTATGGGGAGTGCAGGAGGCAGCTGATACTTATTTCTCTCCCACATGAATGTTTCTGTCTCTCTCTCAAAAAAAAAAAAAAAAAAAAAAATCAATAAAGACATAAATAAAATGGGGTGAATGTTAATTGGCCAAGCTCTATAGTGACCTTATATTTTATCCTACTCAATGCATAAGGTCGGACTTATTCAGTGTCTAAGCCTAGGTTTTGTTTAATTTGAGGCACTTAGATATTTTAAAAGGTCAGAAACTGTAAATTGTCAATGAAAGCTTTATTGAAAACCGTATCAATCCTTATTTAATTGATTCACCTTTCTTTCTTAGGTTTGAAAGAGAAGATAGTAAGGAGCTTCGATGTCTCCTCAGATGGGTCCTTCTTGCTCATAAATGGGGTAGCTGGATATTTTCATTTGCTGTCAATGAAGGTGAGGCATTGTTAGTTGCTTGTACTTCTAGGATAAGACATTAGTGCATAACTCCAGGTGTTCTTAAATCTGCATCTCAACTAGAGGAGCATAGTGGTACTTGGGAGGAGCTGCGGGCAGTTGAGGGAGAATTTTGGAGAACGGAAAAACAACTTCGAGTAGGTGGTGCAAAATGGAGAACTAGGTTGCTTCTGTCCTGCACAGTGTGATTCTTTGCACCTCCTAAAACGACTTGATAGGTAATATTTATTATTCTTTTAGACCAAAGAATTGATTAGTAGCATGAAAATAAATGGAAGGATTGCAGCATCCACATTTTCTTCAGATAGTAAGAAAGTATACGCCTCTTCGGGTAAGTTAATGACATGATGATCCGAAGCTTCTTTGAAGCTTTGAATGTGTTTACATTTTAAGTTTAACCAAAAACTGTTTGATTTTAGACTTTCTTGTTTTAGTAACCAAATCAGTTTTATTTTTAGCATGAATCTTTTGTTGCCATTGACCTTCTCATTTACTAACAAGTAATAGTGAAGGGCTAACCATTTAACATACACTGCTCACGTGTTTGGGGAAAAGATGGGAAGTAAATGCTTATTTAAAAGATGAGTCATTCTGTAACAGGAAAGGGGACCTGGCCCTGAGCGGGTCTGCCTAGGGCCAGCTGTTAGTGTGTGAGTTCTTGACTTTGTTTCACAATACGAGTCTAGGTGAATTTGAGAGGATGTTTTTTGAAGCTGGGGACAGTGAAACAAGGAAGGGCTGGGGAGATGGGTTTAGGCTGATCTGCTTCAGCTCACCAAGAAGTCAGAAAGGGGGGCCTTCGGGACAGGTTTAGGAGATTTGCCTGGGACGAGCTGCCACTGCCCATTGTTGCCTTGGTTGCAAGCCTCGTGGGGTCCCTTAGAGTTTAGGAGATGGATGCTTGTGGGGCAGCAGGGAGGCGCTGGTTTGCTCCTGAGATGAGTCCTTTGTCTTGAGGCTTTTATTTCTCTCTTGCAGGGGAGGGTTTCAACAGAATATTCATCAGTTTTCTAGGTGTGCTCCTTCAGGGTCTTGGTCTCCACTGATTGGTCAGTGTCAAGTAGCTTGGGTTCCTGCCTGTACTGGGGGGAGATTGTTAGTCCTATGCAGCTGGTCCTGGTGTCACCCATATTAGGTGCTCTAATACCTGTTGATAGATGTTGGGAAACGTGTGCTGCTGGGTATTTTATTTTTTGTTTTTTGTCTTTTCAAATTTGTTCCAGTAATTGAGTGAAATATACAAGCTTTTTCTAAAAGCTCAACTCAAGGCAGTAGTTTGTGATTTTCACTTTAAATCTAAAGATACTATTTATTAATGACTAATGGAGGATGCAGTTTTCTGTATATGGGAATGTATGCAAGAAATATTTTTAGTCCAGTTTTGTAGATCTAGGACTTTTATCGCATGTCTTCATTTATAGTCCTCTGTACTATTCAAGAGGCACTAAGAATGGTCAGTTTACTTGCCTTTCAAATTTAAAGCAAATTAACCAAACCTTTTTTGGCTTTGCATTCAGCGGATGGGGAAGTTTACATTTGGGATGTGAACTCTAGGAAGTGCCTTAACAGATTTGTCGATGAAGGCAGTTCATATGGATTGAGTATTGCAACATCTAGGAATGGACAGTATGTGGCCTGTGGGTAAGTAAAGAGAGGTTCTTGTAACTCTGAATCACATTGTGCTAATGAGAAAATATTAAAAAAGTGAATATAGTAGATGGTGCTTAAGTAATTCTGTTTATAAACTATTCAGTAGGCCCTTTACATTCTGTTGTCTTAATGCAATGTCTGATAATATCGGTGGTTTATCTGCTCTTTAGCAAAGAAAATACTGGACTGCCTTACATCATTGTATTTTTCTTCTATTTGAAATATCCATTTGATCACATCAAGATTTTCTGTTACTATTTTAGATACTTGCCATTGAGGAGGAGGTAGAATAAGGCAAGCTTTGGGTTTAAGTCTTCAAGATACTTAAAGCATTTTTGCCTTCATCTGGCTAGGTGGTATAAACCAAACACATGTTCTTTGGAAATACTGTTAGTATTGTAGACATTTTGAAAATATTATCTAGGACCTGTTATTGTATGATCACTGGGAAAAAATGGTTATTACAGTGGGGAAAAGATGGCTTTATTCCCCTGCTTGAGTCTAAGGGTCCATGGAAGGAGGAGGCATTCGATACTTACCTGTAATTTGTATCTACCAAATCACTAGTAAACATCTGTAATTTTAGAGCTTCTAGAAATGGATTTTTTATTATTTTCTTAGACTAAACACAATTGATCCGAAAAGAGATTTCAGTCAAATCCTCCCTGGGTGGGAGGTCCAGTGGGTCTTGCTGTCCAAAAGCATAGCATACTTACCATTGTTCACTTTACCTCCTCCTTTGAGATGGAAACTGGGGACATTGCTTGTAAACATCCCTACCACATTTGAAAATTGCCCTGGCCGGTTTGGCTCAGCAGTTAGTCGGCCCGTGGACCAATGAGTTGCGGGTTCGATTCCAGTCAAGGGCATGTACCTTGGTTGTTGTCTTACTCTTTCAGGTCCGTGTTCTACCCTTTTCCACTGGGTAGAATCCGTGGTTACATTGTACCTTTGCTGCATCTTCTGTAAATGAAGTAGTATGTTTTGTTTTGTGACTTCCTATCAGGTTTACCGTCAATCAGTAAAAACAAACAAACAAATATCTGAGTACCCACTATGTACAAAGCACCGTATATTGAAGAATGGGTGAGAGTTGAGACATAGCAACAAAGCATATTCTCTGCCTTGCACGTGACAGCTTTTAGTGTGCATGGGCCCTATGATCTTACCAAATTAGGTGGCCCCACAGGGTGACCTGGAGAATCCCTTTATTTTGTTGCTGTTGCTTTATTTTCTGTGATTACAGTGAAGTTAGGAATGTCTCATGCTACAGCCATCGGACAGGTCAGTAGCTTGGGTTCCTGCCTGTACTGGGGGTGTGCAAGCTACAAATCACTTTGGGGTCTTTGCATTTTGAAAATTGAATGTCAGTGCCAAATTATTTTTATATTTTATATATTTAACATATATTTATATATATTTTCTATTTCAAATCAAAGTTCTGTCTAGTGATTATAGATTTGTTGAGTTAGTCTTCAGCAGGTTCTTAAAAATACACAAATTAAGATTGTCTTTTTACTATGATTTCCATCTAAGTAGTTTCAAATAGTACTTTGAATAATTACTACAGTAAAAAAAAGTTTATAATATTAATAGTAAATTTTTCCCAGTATTTACTATGTGCCAAGGACTGTTATTTTCCATATATGTACGTGTGTATATACACAATGTGAGCGTGTGTATGTGTGTGTGTATTGTATATAAACTAATTTAATTCTCATTTCCTACTTCATGATGTATGTACTATTATCTCCACTTTACAGGTGGGGAAGCAGAGGCATGTGAGTTAAGTAACTTGGTTAAGATGACACAAGTAGTAAGTGGTAGAGCCAAGATACAACCCCAAATAGTCTGGCTACAAAGCCTGAGCTCTTAGCCACTCTTACCTTTTTTTAAGCTACACCTGTTTGTGTTCATGTTTTTAAATATATAAATGGTATAGTTACTAGGAGTTTTGTAAAGTAAGAAGTTTTACAAGAAGTAAAGAAAATATATAGTGTCAGTGTGTCTTGAGTATGACTTCTTTTGTGCCAACCCTGGGCTCCTGGTCCTCCCTCCAGGTCCAGCGCAGGCTGGCCTCTGGCGGGTGCAGGGGTCATTGGGCACTCAGTCACCAGCAGTGCTGCCTTCCAGGCCCTCATCTGAATAACTGGGAGCCTTGGCTGATCCCCAAGGGCAGAGGCAGAGTTGGTCACAGGGACTCCTGGGCACATGCAGCTTCTCGTTTCCTCTCCCTTTCCTGCCTTGGAGGAAGAGTGAGCATCAACTTCGGGTGTAACTGCTAAAAACAGGCCAACGAGGGGTGAGCTGGTAGGGCGAGATGTTCAGATAGACTCAGGACCATCTTGGCCCCTTCTGCTTATTTTTTAATTTTTTTTTGCTTTTGCTTGATTTTAACCTGTTGTATTCCCTTTTCTCTTTTCAGTTCTAATTGTGGAGTGGTAAACATATACAATCAAGATTCTTGTCTCCAAGAAACGAACCCAAAGCCGATAAAAGCTATAATGAACTTGGTTACAGGTGTTTCTTCTCTGACCTTCAATCCTACCACAGAAATTTTGGCAATTGCTTCAGAAAAAATGAAAGAAGCAGTCAGATTGGTAATATTTTTTTCCCTTTTCCTTTTATCATTCGTATCTTTAAAATTTAGATTGAAGACATGGAAAGGTGACAGGAAAGGAAAATGTTGGATTATTTTTAAAAGAGTAGCTTCTCTTGCCCATCCCCACTGTGGGGTGTGCAGGAGGCAGCTAGTCAATGTTTCTCTCTCTCTCTCTCTCCCTCTCCTTTTCTCTCTCTAAAATCAATAACATCCCATTTAAAAAAAGAGTAGCTTCTGATGTAGAAATGACTAGTATTGTAGCTTTGGGGTGTGGTTATAGGAAAGATGCACAGTAGCCACCAAATTTGTATTGTTTCAGTTCTTTGGGGAAAGCTGTGCTGTTTTTATTAACATTTCTTAAATGGTGGTTCTTCATTTTCCCAGGTTTCTTTCTTTCAGCATATTATGAAGGGGTATGTTTAAGGCAGGCACTTCTTTCCTCTACAGTTTTCTTTCCTCCTCTACCTTTTTAAGGCCTGCTGTCTTTTTTTTTTTTTTTTTCCTTTATTGATTTTAGGGAGAGAGGAAGGGAGAGGGGAGAGATAGAGACATCGATGAGAGAGAATGTGGATTGGCCGCCTCCTGCATGCCCCCTACTGGGAATCAGGCTCCCAACCTGGGCATGTGCCCTGACTGGGAATCTACCGGTGACCTCTTGGTACATGGGTCCACGTTCAACCACAGCGCCACACCAGCTGGGCAGCATTTAGGGTTTTCTACTGTGGCAAAATCACACAAGGAATTCATTTGTAACAGCCAAATCTCATTTATCAAATGTTAGTCAACCATGATATCTAATGGAGAGAAGCCAGGCACTGCAACTTCAGAATATCTCAGTGAAACAACGCCGGCATTATTAAATGTATTCTCACAATGATCAAACAGTCCTGTTGTCCCAGTACAATGCAGTGAATATAAATCTAAACCATTGCACCAGAAAGAGACCTGCAAGTTAAATTGTTGCTACATCTGTAATCTTGGATGTAGTAGAAAGTTGTAGAACTTCTTGTCCATTAAATGGAGGATGAGTGAGCTTTTACTTGTTTAATTTTGATATCTAGGCCCATAAATATAATGACAGAATATGGTTGGAGATAAAGGGAATTTTCTGAGGTAAAGAAGTTTGGTTTTAATGAGACTTTTTCTCAATTCATTATTCATTGAATAGCTTTCAATACAAGGGCCATAAAGAGGTTGGAGCATAGCTACCTTTTTTTTTTCTTTATTGATTTTAGAGAGGAAGGGAGAGGGAGAGAGAGATAGAAACATCAATGAGAGAGAACATTGACTGGCCGCCTCCTGCATGCCCCCCACTGGGGATCGGGCCCACAACCTGGGCATGTGCCCTGACCGGGAATCGAACCTGCAACCTCTTGGTGCGTGGGTCGACGCTCAACCGCTGAGCCACACTGGCCGGGCACAAACAGCCGCCTTCTAACCAGATGGGGTTGTTGGTCTGAGGGAAGATGTACTCTGCAGTGACAGATTACTCTGGGGACTTTACACACAGATATAGTTGAGTCTCTGAGAAGCACATTGTAAACATTTTTTTTACCCCCAATAGCCAAGTCAGTACAGGAGATAAAGTATGAAAAGGAGTTGATAAGTTGCTGTTTATCCTCCATTGGAAAGACCACACTGGCCTGTTATGTGAATGCATGGCCACTGTGTACGGGTGTGTAGGTTATTGTTGCACAAAGGCACCCCATCCCAGGGGTTGTAAGCGTGTATGTTTTACCATAGTAATTTTTTTTTTAATCCTCACCTGAGGATATTTTTCCATTGATTTTTGGATTGGGAGGGAGGGTGGGAGAGAGAGAAACACTGATGTGAGAAAGATACACCTATTGGTCTTCTCTCACACGACCCTGACCAGGGTCGGGGATTGAACATGCAACTGAGGTACGTGCCCTTGACTGGTAATCGAACCCCAGAGTCTTTGGTTCTAACCACTGAGCAAACCGTCTGGGGCTGCCACAGTATTTCTGGTACTCTGTTCTGTTTATTTAGCTACAAAAATATACAGCTACCTTCTGTTAAAAATGACTTTTAAAATATTGCTGTATATCTTGTACCCCAATTTTTGTCCTGTGGGTAGTTCTCTATTTGTAACAAGCAACTGACTTAAGTATGAAGTTACATGAATTCAAATTTGGAGGCTGTTTTTTCCAATTTCAGTTAGAAAATACTTATTTTTAAGAAGTCACTTAAGTAGAAAAGTTTGTTCTTGTATATTTTATTTTGGAAGAGTCAGAAAAGCACCTCCCCAACCTTCCAAGTCGTGTCAGAAGAGTTAATGAGCAAATATATGTGCATAGTTTAAGAGTGTCAGGTTACGCACAGGGTGGAAACAAAGGTAAGGCATGGGACAGTTCTGTTCTCTGCCCTTGTGCAAATGGTTATTTCCTGATTGTCTCCTCCCATGATGCCTTGGATCACCTGTTCAAAGTTGGTGCATGCTTGGAGGATGCAAACTTATCACCTAAGCAAAAACAATTAAGAAACCAGTTCACTTGTTAAAAACTCATAATTCCTGCTTTCCCAGACTAAATGTAAATATACTTTGCAGTATCCATATTGTGGCTTCTCTCTTAAAATACTAAACTGCTTTATTAAGTACTGTAAAATACATATACATACTTAAAATCTTCAAAGAACTTGTACGGAGTGGTGTTTTAGAAGTTTAAAAGTTAAGATCAAATTGGATACTGCCAACTTCTTAGCTTAGGTCTTAAGTGGGTCAAGGCCACTTCTCACTAGCACTAATGTCTGCATTGACACCATGCTGTGCAGTCAGAACCTGTCTTCTGGAGAAGTTGAGAATAATTGAAAATGACTTGGCATACTATAAACTTGACTCTCTTGACATAATGGTCAATAGGTATATATCAGGGAGTAGGGCCTAATAAGTGACTGATTATGAAACCTGTTTAATAGACAGGTATATATCCTAATGGTACTTGTCTATGAAAATCATCCTGATTGGATGGTTTAAAGTCTCATCTAAAAATGTGGAGGATGAGCCCTGGTCGGTTTGGCTCAGTAGTTAGAATGTTGGCCTGTGGACCAGAGAGTCCCGGGTTCAGATCCCACTAAGGGCACGTACATTGTTTGCAGTTTGTCCTGGCCCTGGTTGGGGCCGTGTGGGTGGCAACCAGTCGATGTGTCTCTTTCACATCGATGTTTCTCTCTCTCTCTTCCCCCTCTCTCCCTCCCGCTCTGTCTGAAGATAAATGCAAAAATGTTCTCGGGTGAGGATAAATAAATAAATAAAATAAAAATGTGAAGGATGACAGACTACCAAGATAAATAGCTGAATGATAACTATGTGTTTGAACATGAGGGTGCAGTATAAAGAGCTAGAGAACATTTGGAAGTGAGAGTTGTTAAAATCCTACTCTGCTTAAGGTGACTGATTCCATGCTTGGGTTTTATTTATCTACAAATCGTGTGAGGACTTGTCTCACCTGTCTTGAACTTGGGTTCATTTTTCACAGAAGTAGACTCCCTTCGAGAAAGAGGCTGTGTGCCTCTGCTTAGGCCTGGCCTTGAGGTGAGCTTTGGGCTCTAAATGAGAACACAGGTTCACTTGAGAAACTAGGTTTTCATGATTTAGTCCTCCTTAAGGAGAGATTGCAAAAGGCAACATAGTTGAAAAGTAAAAGTAAGAAAAGGAAATTATATGATATTGGAAAACTTGGTATGACTTGGCCTAGACTTCAGTTTCATAAAATCAGACTCTTCATAATGTTTAAAGTATCTGTTCCCTGTGACAAATTTTAGTATTCTTTACTGTTGTCATTAAGTTAGAGCATTAATGGGTATTGCTATTGACTTTTCATTTTAGTTTATTCCTTCATTTATTCAGCAAACATTTGAATCTTCCAAGCAGCATACTGGATGCTGCATTAAAAACATCAAGAAAACATTCTTTTCTCTTCCCTCAGTCAATAGCACAATGAAAATGAAATTTTAATTTTGGAGTATTCTGCTACATTAAAGTGTACTACAATCAAGGTGAACTTTTGTTCCAGCAAAAAGAGTGAAGATTACAATTTAAGAAAGTTGAGTTCCCAGTTGTTGCCATTTAAAGCTTTTTATTATTTCCTGCAGGTTCACCTTCCTTCCTGTACAGTATTTTCAAACTTTCCAGTCATTAAGCAGAAGAATATTTCTCTTGTTCACACTATGGATTTTTCTCCGAGAAGTGGCTATTTTGCTCTGGGGAATGAAAAGGGCAAGGCCGTAATGTATAGGTAGGTATTATTTATGTTTAAAAGTCAGAAATATCTGTAATCATATTTTGAAAATGTGAGGAGATGCTATTGTTACAATCCTGGTTATACAATTAATTGATTACAATTATTTATTTATTAATAAATTGTAGAGTGTAGAGCTTGGCATCTCATCTCTATTATCTAACAAAATGTTCATTTTTCTACCATAAAATGTCACTAGCAGAAAGGTTCACCTGGGTTTTTGTTTGTTTTTTTGAGTAAACTATTTTGAGAATGTCAAATTGAAGAAAAGTAGAGTCACTTTAATAATAATACCATTTTCTTGGTGCCTTATATTTAGATTAACCTTTGTTGCTTTGGCAATTTGATTTAAATGATTTTAAAAAAAAGGATGTTTCTTTCCCTGCAGCTGTAAGCTGTAAATAAGGATTTTAACCACAAAGATATCGGAAAGTTATGCCCTGTCCAGGTTCTTTTCTGCACTCAATATATGTGGCTATAAAGCAGGAACAAGCGAAATCTAATTGCATTGTTGCCAGAAGATATAGGTGACAGGTGGCTCTTCAGGGAGAACCGAGGAGCTGGAAACCTGTGACTTAAATCACAGTCCCCTCTCCTTGCTCCTTTGTGTTGGTACTGAATGCTGCATAGAAGCCTGTGTTTATGTTTGTATGCTTCGGGGAAGGCCTTCTTTCAACATAAAATGAAATCTGGAGTAAAGAAAAGGAGGCATGTAAATTGGTTTGCAGGATATAGTTGTGAAAAGAGAATATAGCAAACAATATGGTTTCAAGTTCAACTTACTTTGGAAGGAAAATGGGTTATACCTGGAAAATTGATATATTCCATCATTCTCATTTCAGACCATTTTTGGTTATTCTTTCAGATCAGATTTTATAAAAGAATGCAGAGTCTTATTGAACTTAGAAATTCTCTTCTAAAGCTTTGGTTTATTATAATAGAATTTTTCTTTTCTTTAAGTAAGTCCCAAAAGCTATTAGTTTTCACCAGAGCATTGCTCTCTAGAGAGAGTTTCTAACAAGTAGGTTGGACTGATACCTTTCTGTTGGATATAGCTGATCAGGTATTTAATAGACCCCAGTTTGATGCTTTGGGCAAGCTTAAAGCTTTGAACTAAAATCTGAGGCATTAGCATTAGGCTCCTCAGAATGTCAGGTTGAGAAGTCTTAACCTAGCTGCCTAGTGAGAATGATTGTGATTACACCCCACCTCCCCTTAAAATATTCCTAAGTGCCATTCTGTGATCTGATTGACACTACTCTGGATAATCGCAAAATTGTTTAGATGATTTGTCTTTTACTTTTTTCAGGTTGCACCATTATTCAGACTTCTAAAGAGATTATGTGAAGTAAGAAAATCCTTTTAAATTGCTTCTTGGGTTTTTAGGTTGCAGCCATTGCTGTCAGTGGCAGAGGGGGACCACATTAGCCGATCTTTGTTTCTTTGCCCCTGGGTTGCTATATGTTCATTTAGGGGAATGGATGGAAGTAGATCAAGAAGAACAGAACCTGGTTGGACTTGAATCTTTGGACTTTCTTTTCCCAAATCACAACAACCTACCTCTTTTCTTCTGAGGTCAGCTCTCTAATACTATAATTTCTGAACATTTAACCCACAAAGGAGAATAGATTGAACAGTGAAAGATAAGTATCTTTGGATATAATTAAAGCTTCCATGAGCTTAAATTCTCTTATTTTGTACTATATGTTTCTTGAGAGATTATAAGTGGCTTGCCCTGTAGCTAGTTAATAGTGGCTTTTCACAGACCTAATTAATGTCTGGTCATTAGTTTTGCTGCCCAAAATTTAAAACAGTAGTACATGCTTCTCCCATGGCTTGGTCTTTGAACTGAGACATGGTGGTAGTTCTGAGGAGGAGCTTTGCAGGGGGCCTGCTCATCACAATGGAATAATTTTGTCTTTGAGATTCATACATGTTGAGACTGGGAGTGCATATAGACTTAAGTAGAGAAAAGAATTTTTGAAAGTAGAAGAATGTTAAGCAAAACATTAGCCTGGAGGAGAAAGCAGTCTAGTTATCCCGCTTCTGGAAATTACATTGCCACTACATGTTTGTTGATGATCAGCAGTTATAAATCAAGTGTGTAATTTCTTTGTTCTTTCCTCAGATTCATTTGAGTCACAAGAGAAGCCCGTCCTGATAGATCTTCTCAGAAATTTTCCAGAATGTGTGATACTGTATGGATAATGGTTTTTCGAGCCAGCTGTGCATATTTAAGTTAATCAAAGTGTTTTAATAAATACATGTCAACTTTTGTTTGAAAATAAATGTACATGGTTCTTTTTCTCCCCACTGACACACTAACTTTGATGCATTTCTTTTAAGACCAAACATGAGAAATTGGAAACACCTGTCGGTAGCCTGCAGTAACATAGGCAGATGTTCTCGTATTTCAAACTTAAGCCTGATGAATATTTCCCCCTTTCCCAGCATAGCTCTCTCCATGTCTCAGGGTAACAATTAACAGAGGCTCTAATTGGCTTGACATGAAAGTGATGAGTTCTCCCCAGCTAAGTAATAGACCCAACTTAGCTGTATTCAAACAAACAGGGCAGTGGAGGGCATCTTCAGTGTCAAGGCCCTTTGAGGTCTGTTGGCGGTGGCCTAGAGCAGCCCAGAGGTGTGGATTGTGTTAACATATCCTAGCATCTTTCCGAAGGGACATTTTCTGTTAAGATGGGCTGTTGCTGTACAGTTGTGGAGGTCCTCTGTTCCCTCCTTTTGTAGCAGCATCTTTCATAGTAAATAATATTGATGCTAAACATTTCAGATTCCTGACTCCAGTTGGCTTATTTGTGTTATTTCTCTTCCGAGTTGCTAGAGGGCAGCATTGGATTATGAGTGTAATTGAAGGAAGACTTTTTGTAGATTTTTACTACCTTGTCTTTAGCTTATGTTAAACCACTGTTTGTTTCAGAAATGGACACCAAGCCTTTTATGTGAAAGATTTACAGGAAGTTATCATTATAGAGAAAATGATGGAAGCAGAGTTTAAGTTTCAACTCTACCATCTCTGCGTCATATTTACACCCTTCTAGGGGCAGAACAAAGATTTCCCAGTTCTGATCTACATAGATAAATGTGCTCTTTGTTCTACAGACAGAGATGCTACCAATTCTGTTTCTTTTGGTGGTTTTTTTCTCTTAGGGAGAGTTGGAAATTTGAGTCAGGTTCTTACTGCCTTTCTTTGTTGGTTTTTTTTTTTTTTTTTAATGTGCTTACTGATTTTTTAGAGAGAAAGGGATACAGGAGATAGAAACATCAATGAGAGAGAAACATTGGTTGGCTCCCTCCTGCACACCCTCCACCGGAGATTGAGCCTACAACCCAGGCATGTGCTCTGACCAGGAATCGAACCAGGAACCCCCTCTAGTCCATGGGACAACACTCAATCCTCTGAGCCACACTGGCTGGTCCTTACTACCTTTTTTTGTAACCAGAGCTGAGTTAGCTCTGCAAGGAGAGCCACAGTCATGAGCTCATTTACACAATTCTCCATTGGCAGTTGCTAAGTTAACACGAATGGAGCTCATGTCTCTGTGGGGATGAGTTGGGGGTTATTGCGAGCTTGAGGTGGTGTTTGCCGTCCGGAGCCTCACAGGCTCTACTTGGGTTTATTTGGAGTGATGTATTTACAAATTGAAGTCTGGTGTAGCCCACTCATTTCTCCTCCCGTTCCCACTAATACTCATTCAACTAACGGATTATTAATCTATGGAACATTGTTCTCTCTGAACAAATCACAGGTAAGAAGTCTGTTGCCTTCCTGTGTGTGTGTTTCTGGTAAGGATATATAACCCTTCCTAAGCCTGCACAGAGTGAGGTGACCAGCTGCAGGGTTTGTGACTGGCATTTTTACACCTGATCTTGGAAATGGGGTGGAGGCAGCCAAATGCCCACAAACATGAGGTCACTCACCTGTGGTCGGCTCTTAAGCTGCTTGGGATCTCACTTAAATCCGTCTCCAAATTCGTCACACAAAACCCAAAAAGCATTGTCTATTCTGTTATTGGAGGAAATGGGGCAGAGGGCAGAGATGTGGGGAGAAGGGAGAATGGCGTTGGAAACAGTGTTCCTGAGCCCTGTGTGCTATGCTGTGCTGACATCAGGATATATGTATCATCTCAGGAGATCCTCACTACTCCTCTGTGAGGAGGTAGTATTTACTTTGTGTAGGGAAGTAAACAGGTTCAGAGAGGTTGAACATCCCAGTCTTCAGAGGCGTGGCCCTTGAAGTAGGGTGTGCATGCTCTTTGTAACGTTATTTTTCAATTGTGTGTTACATTCAATATCATCTTGTATTAGTTTCAGGTGTACAGCATAGTGATTAGGTAACCATGCACTTTACAAAGTGTTCCCCCTGGTATTTCCAGTACCCACCTAGGACCATGCATAGCTATTTCAGTATTATTGACTATATGCCCTATGCTGTACTTTACATCCCTGTGACTATTTTCTAACTACCAATTTGCACTTTTTAATCCCTCCCCCTTTTTTAACCAGTTCCTCAAACCCCCTTCCCTCTGGCAACCTGTTTCTGAATCTGTTTCAGTTTTGTTTTTTAGACTCCACGTATAAGTGAAATCACATATTTGTCATTCTCTGACTGACTTATTTCACTGAGCATAATACCCTCTAGGTCCATTCATCCTGTTGTAAATAGTAAGATGTATTCTTTTTTATAGTCGAGTAGTATTTCATAGTGTATACATACCACAGCTTTTTTATTCACTTGTCTATTGATGGGCACTTGGGTTGCTTCCATATCTTAGCTACTGTGAATGACAAGATGTGCATACTCTTTTTTAAACTTTTTCTTTATTGATTTCAGTGAGAGAGGAAGGCGGGGGAGGGGGGCATTGATGAGACAGAACATCGATTGGCCTCCTCCTGCATACCCCACACTGGGGATTTGGCCCACAACTTGGGCATGTGCCCTGACAGGGAATCAAACTGGTGATCTCCTGGTGCATGGGTCAATGCTCAACCACTGAGACACACCGGCCGGGCAGGATGTGCATACTCTTAATGGAATGATGCAGCCCATTAGATTGTGAAAAGGAAATAGAACTTGTATGCTGTGCAAAAGTATTTTTGCTTTATACTGTATTTATGTTATAGAGCTTGTGGATAATTTATAAACAAATATGTTTATATTCGGAGTATATACTCAATGGTTTCCTATGAATGGGCCACTGAGTTAGAGGCCCAACCTACTGCCATATCAGCTGGGCACAGCCAAAACTTCCCCACACCCTTCTTTTCACTTTTCCAAACGTGTATCACATTCTCTACAATGTGAACAGCTCCTCTGTTAACCTAGTCACTTAATCTAGGTACTTAAGACTGACTTTAAACCTGAGATTATTCTCCACCCCTAACCCCCACCACGAAACTAGCTACCAAGCAATTTGTTTTTTCTTTCTATTCTGCCATTTCCTCAGTTTTCATCGGCTCGTACCTGCAAATCCCCTGACTGGTCTCATTATTCCTACTTCACATTTTCCATTGGCTCTGCATACTGGAGCCAGAGATTTTTTTAAATGTTTATCGTGGAAAACTTCAAACATACAAAAGCAGAGAGAGACTACTGTGAAACTCCTGTGGCTGTATTGCCAGCTTCAGCAATGAGCAGCTCCTGGGAGTCTATCTGTATCCCTACCTACAAGCTGCGGTTATTTTGAATCCAAGCCAAGGTGTATCTCATTTGAGCTATAAATATTTGAGTATGTATAGAGATGTGTTTTAAAAATATAAATCTCGCCTGGCTGGTGTGGCTCAGTGGACTGAGCGTTGTCCCGTGGACTGAGAGGTCCCAGTTCAATTCTTGGTCAGGGCACATGCCCAGGTTTCGGGTTTGATCCCCAGTAGGGGGTGTGCAGGAGGCAGCCGATTGATGTTTCTCACATGGATGTTTCTATCTCTCTGTCCTTTCCTCTCTCTCTGAAAAAATAAAGGAAAAAAAATTTTTTTAAAACAAAACATATCTCAACATGCTACTCTTGCTTAAAATCCTTCAGGAGTTCCTCTCTCCCAAACTCTTTAGTTTCCCCATATATAGAAAGAGCATACAGATAGACTTGCCTTGTAGGACTAGTTATTAGGTTCAGAACAGCACCTGGCCCAGAGCAAGCTCTCGGTGAACGTTAGCTGCTGTCATTATCATCGTGATCACGGTCAGGTACAAGATGATATTCAGGCTCCTTCACTTGGTAGAAAGGTCCATTATTTCCCCCTCTTCCCATCTCCAGCTTTCTCATTCACCTTATGCTCCAGAAATCTTGAGCTATGTGAAATTTCTCTGCTAAGCCTATTCTTCTCCCCCACACCTTTGTTTTTTGCTTATGCTTCTTTCTTGCTTTTCTCTTTGTGCTTTTAAACACTGTACATCTAGCAGGGCTGAGAAGGGCTTTTATTATACCCTATTTGCCCTACTTTGTTTATACAGTCTTTCCATGTAAGAGGCTTTCCAAAACACAGTAAAAAGGGAAAGTAGACACAAGCCAGGGCCTGGGGAAAGATGGGAAATTAGAACCCAAATGCGTAGGCCATACATGGTTACTAAGGTTGAGCTCTGTTTCCATGCCCCACTCCCAATTTTTGGCTTCAGCAGTACTCCAACATATTTCTTAGAAAAATGTAATTTTTAGAAAGTGAAAGTCCTTTTTCCTTCCTCCACATGGGAATCTCTATTAACAGTTTGTATATCTTGTTAGTAGTTTTTTATTTTAATTGTTGAGTCGAATATGTGTTTAGATGCAAGAAACAGAACCTGAAAAATGGTGGCTTGAATCATAAGAACATTTCTTGTTTAAGAAGTCTAGAGGTGGCTGGCTGGCTTCAGAATCCATTTGGTGGCTCAGCAAAGCCCCCTCTGGTTAGTGTGTCTGTGGTTCTCTTTGCCAGTGTCTCATGGTCACAAAGTGGCGGCTGCACCTCAAGCCCCACGCCCTCACACAACGTGAAAGCATTTCAAGCTGGAAGGAAGGGGATGGGGAGAAAACGGCTTCTTTCCCGGCAAGGCTTTTCCTTGTGATCCAAGGAGAAAGTCTGTCTTAGAAGTCACCCTGCCGCCTTTCCCTCATGTTTCCTTGGCAAAGAGAACCAATTGTCCATAAAACCAATTACGCTTCATCCCGGGGGCCTGCTGACCCTGAGCATATAGCTATCTAGCTGTTGTTTGAAAAAACTCGGCATTCTGTATACGAGGAGGATGGGGGAGTGGGGAATGACGGGGGAAAAACAACTATGCTTACCACAGGTA